TACTATATATTGTTCAGTGTTTTCGTTCTCTCTAATGAAAACTTATTCAAAATAATATCTCAATAAATGATTAAAAAAAAGAGAAGAAAGAGAGCACGACTTACTCTTGAGAAATCAGTAAAATATCACTTGTACAGCGAAAGATCATATTGACTTCAAAAGAAACTTTTTTTTTTATCTAAAACTTGAACTGTTACAGTTTCTCAGCACAACTTATTGAATGATTGTATCAAAATTAAAATTTTCAAATTGATTATTATATTATGGTTCTCTGATTGAATGCTCGTTTGTCTCAGGGAGCCCTCATAATAAAAATAACTACTCATCGCTAGAACGATCACTTAGAAATGGAGAAACCATAACAGCAACATATGCAGCCACTACAGTGTTTTCATATATAGGAATTTATCATTAATCCCTGATTTAATTTCTTCAGTCTCTTTCAATATTCGATTATCAATTATAGCATTTTCTATTGCTTCGGCATCTCAACATCTTGTAGATGCTGAAAAAAATGCTAAGCTGCCATGATTCTCTCTTTCGATAAGAACATCACCATTTATTTCTGATTTTTCAATAACAACATACCGGTTGTATTGGCTCGTCTAGTTAAAATGATAGGTACGGCAGTAGCCGTTGTTACAATACACACTCCAATAATAATTGCAAGAATGATTAAAATAAAACGTCTAAACATGAAATGAGCCAATCATTTATATAATCACCTATTTATTGATACGAACCTCTTATTGGTATTTGTCGGATGAGTCGGCAATTGTGACTGTTCTTCAGGCATATTTCCTTGAATTTGCTTTCTTCACAAATAACACTCATTTCTTTAATAATGTGATATTTAAGAAAGAAAGAATGCAATAATATTTTCTAGACAAACATTTATGTCATGTGTTTGCACACATGTATGTTTGAAGATGTTTTTTGATCTTCCAATATTCTTATCCATATAGAGAAATATTTCAGTGCATATTTCAGTTGTGTACAAGCTTTCAGTACTTCATATCCGCTAAAATTAATTTGAATGATCGATGGCAATATAAATATAATCTCTCTTTTTTTGACATCATACACTAACATTATAAAACGTGTTTTATCCAGAATGCGTCATAAAATTTTTATTAGTAAGTTATTTGGTAAGCAAGAAATCATTTCGATTATAATTCCATACAAGGATTAATTCTGAATAAACTATTTTGTAAACTTTATAAAACAACATATTGTGATTAGTTGGAACGAACAGATTCTTGTGAGAAGAGTCAGACTGATAATCACCAATATTAACTCAATAATTACTCACACTAATAAAAAAAAATAAATATAATTTTTATGATTTATGATACATACTCTTTCTAGTAACATGGAAAAAAAATTTGTTTTCAAGCGAGTTCTTTTGTTCGAATCTATATGGGTAAAATCAGGCAGAATAGGACATTTACCTCTTTCATTTAACCATTATCCTATACGAGGTCTTATATTCTGAATAAATTCTTTTTGCATAGGCTTATGTAAAAATGTTTGCTCTTTTACATGAGTATTAATTAAAATTAATTAGTTAATCAGTTAATTAATTAATAGGTAATTAGTGAATATCTCCCCAACGGTATAAGAAAAAAATCTGAAAACTTCAAGATAGATTCTACATCCCGAGGTGCACCTATGGTGAAATTTTCAGCGAGATCGGATTCAAAAAAGTTTCTTCCAAAAACTGGGCCCTCTATAGCTCACGCGAAGTATACAAACGAAAAATGTTGTCTTATCATAATCTACGGGCCGTGAGTAACAATTTGTGCTCTCTGAAATCGGTTTCGAGTTTTCCGTTCGATCATGCCAGTATCTTCTCGGTTGTGCATCCGTACTCTGTCATGTCGCTAACGCCAAATCAGCTCAATTTGTTTAAAAATCAAAACATATTCAAGAAAAACGTTGGATAGATATTTTGTAGCTTCAAGAGTCGCCTGCAACATGAACTATTTAGTTTTCGAAAATAGTGTTTCATTTCGCAGATTTTTCAAACTGAAATGCTTGAAGTGGAAGTTGATGTCCTTTTTCGAGTCACATCGCTAACGCTAGTTTTTTAATCATAACTCTGACGAATAAGGATGCATAAGGCTATTTTTTTCAGAGTGTCTAGAGCAACTTAATATACGTATAGCATATAAAAAATCAGCTCTAGATAAGCTCATTGTTCAGAGGTATGTGCATTTCAATTTTGCGAAGTCACGTCGCTAACAAATGATTTTGCCCATATACAGGATGATTCACTTATTTTTACTATTTTTCTTCAGTTTATTGTATTTCTATAAAACGTCAGAAATTTTTTATTTCTATATGATGAGATAGAGTGTTGATTACTCTATCCAACAGTATAGTTTTCATTTGATTTATCTCATGTGTTGGTTAAAAAACGAGTAAGTTCCGTGAAGCAGACAAAAAAATTTTTTTTGTGTAGAATTTCGAGATGTTTTCTTCGAGTAATTCAAGTAATTATAACCTATTGGACAAATGAATATATTTCGTTTTTATATAGTTAGATAGAGAATTCATTTCTCTATCGAACTATAGATTTTTTTTTATCAATTTATTTCCCATTTTGACGGAAAATTTAGTGAATGTTTGACAAATTTTTTTGACAAAAGTTCAATTATTTGTCTTTATTGAGTAAATTCTTGTCATCTAGCTATATCAATCTTTTCCATTAATATAGCTCGATAGAGCAACAATTTCTCTATTGATTGATGCAATTTTAACCTGATTTAATTATAAAATCTTATAGCTAAATTTGAGATTATATGAATAACATCGAAAATGAAGTAGTGTGAAAGTGTCTAAAATTTCAATAGTAAAATTTTATTTTTTCCTCGAATTCAAAACAGTTTCATTCAATAGTTGGTGCAACTTTAAGTTTGAAGGATCTCTTCCATTTAAGGCTAATTTGGTGACAATCAAATTTGACCTGAGTCAAGTATACGTTTACAAAAGTTTTCTTTTAGCTAGTTTTAGAATTTCTTAAAGTTTTTAATCAAGATATGCGATAAAACAAATGAAAACTATACCGTTGGATAAAGTAATCAATGTTCTATCTAATCATATAGAAATAAAAAAAATATCTGACGTTTTATAGAAATATAATAAACTGAAGAAAAATAGTAAAAATAAGTAAATCATCCTGTATACTTATGCAAACTCATAACCGGCACTTGTATATATATGTCAGCGTCCAAACTGAGATTACGTCCAATCTCAGATTGGCCTAGGCGAATGTCGGATCCGAGATTGGACGCGTCCAATCTGGGATTGACGTAATTATATTCACCAAAATATTAATTACTCTCTAGATATACGTTCGATTCGAATTGTTTTTTTGAGTGATGTTTCCACAATGTCAGTTTATTTGGCACAATTGTCGTTTGACAGATTTGAGTAAAATTTTAGGAGATATGAATAAATTTCGTGTAAAACTTTTATTAAATTCTTGAGTCTAAATTTAGCTTCTTCCTAAATGCTTGTAATACTTAAAACAGCATCGTACGAACATAAACTTCAAAAAATACTTAGGGGTATCCAAAAGTAGTGTCGCCATTACCAAATTCCCTTACAGAAAGGGTGAAAAAATTTTCTTTCTTTTGCAAAAGATAGAGCGTCTTTCGCTCTATTTTTCTATGCTATTTGGTCATACCTTAACTAATATTATGATAATAAATTTTTGACAAGACTTTTTTCGTTAACATGTTTGCTGGTGGTACTAGCTCACAATGAGTCGGACGGATTAATTTTTTAGTCCACTAATACATTGTATTAACAACCAAAATATGCCATA